GAGTGACGTATGTGTAGTTCCTAGTTGTGTAAAGAATACATCAGGAGGTTTAACGTTTGACCAACAGGCATTCTGGAAAGAGAAAAGAAAAACTGAGTGGAGAAAATGATGAGAAAGTAACCTAAGAAAAACTTCTAGTACCAAAGAACATGAGTTTTTAGATAGAAAGGGCCTTTGGAATATCCAGTACAATGACTGTATATATATAAAAAATGCCACTATGATATATCATCAAATTTCAGAATTCCACAAGCAAAGAGAAGATCCTAAGAGCTTATAGAGATAATAAAAAGTCACACAAAGGATCAGAATCAGAATAACATCACCATATTTCAACAGCAACATTAAAAATTAGAAATCAATGGAATAACACCTTCAAATTCTGAAGAAAACGGATTTTCAGTCTGAAATCTATATCCTGTTAAACTATCAGCCAAGGGTGAGGTTAGAATAAGACATTATCTGATATGCAAGGTGTCAAAAATTTTACTTTCTACAATTTTTTTTTCCTCAGGAAGTCACTAATGGATATACACTACCAAAATGAGGGAATAAACCCATGTAGATAACATAGGATCCAGAAACAGAGGGCCCAAGACATAAAAGGGTTGAAGGGAAATCCCAGATAACAGCCATGTAGTCAAGATAGCCATGGACTAGATTAACATAGGATGGGGGAGGGTTCAGGGAGAGAGGTCTCTGACTAAAAACAAACAAACAACAACATAAGTACATCTAATAGATTCCTGATACATGTGATTACCTGGAAAATAGTATGGGGAGGGATTTTATAGCTGTTAAAGAATATGGAAGAAATGAAAAAATTAAACAAAAGAAAATTTGAGGAAATCATTGAGGTGAAAAAAAAAAGAACCCAACAAAGTTAAAGTAGTACAAGAATGTAAATATAATCGTAGTGCAATACTTGACTTATTAGAGACTTAACACACATTGTTCTGTGTGATAATGACTTAAACACAAATTGTGCTGTAACTCTGTGGGAAGAGAGAGAAAAGCGGGAGTGGTAGTTTAAGAGATAAATCCTCACCATTTATAATAGAAAGTTAATAGGTAATACTTTCAATTGATCAATCAGTACATAGCAGCTTAACCTATTATTTATAAATACATATGTAAAAACCAGAAGAAACCAAGTAGATATCTCTGGGGAAAGTAAATGAGGATAGAAAAGGAAGCATGAAGATTCTGTTTTTTGTTGTTAGAAACTTTGTAGTATTGTTTTTTTTTAATTTATGCATGTATCACTTTTATAAAGCTAAAAATTGATTTTAGAAAGTGCATTTTGGAATATATTGAAATCCCAAATTATTATACCTGACATGTTACATGTCACTTATATTTCAATAAAAAAATAAAAAGTCTTGATTTCAACTCTGAAATGGGAAAAGAACTACGAATTACTAAGCCCGAAGTAGAAAAGAGCAATAAAAACACAAAAATTATTGAAATAGAAAATCAAATAAACGTGATCAATATAACAACAACAACACATTGGATGATAGAGAAGACCATATCCTTCACCCTGATACTTTTAGTGAGGTAATGGGGATACATGGCATCTTCAAATCATCACGTGTATCCAAGATGCCTACCAATTCAATCAAGGTAGACTGACATCAAGCACATTATAATAAAGGAGCCAATGTTTCTCCCCCTTTCATCTGAAATAATTAAACTGAGAACCGTTGAATATTCACTAACATTAAAGAGCAACAGCGGAAAAAAACAGTAAGCAGCACCCTGGGAACTATAACATACTTAGCTGTTTAAATAATTTCTTCAATAAAGGTATGTATTAGGTATCTGGAGATTATGCCATATAGTGACTATCACTGTAATTCATAGCGTGAATAAGAATTCAATTTTCTACTAACATCAGTAAGAAATTAGAACGAATTGTAAATAAGCTATCTATTTCTTAAAAAGTAAGCCCCAGATAGGCTTATACTCAAAATAAATTTAAAAGGAAGAGGAAAGGGTACCCGGGTGGCTCAGTTGGCTAGCGTCTGACTTGATTTTGACTCAGGTCATGATCTCAGGGTTGTGAGATTGAACGCCGTGTTGAGCGCTGTGAGCTGGGTGTGGAGCCTGCTTAACATTCTCTCTTTTCCTCTGCCCCTCCTCCTCTCTCCCTCTCTAAAAAAATAAAAAATAAAAATAAAAGGAAGAGGGAAGGGAAAATAGTTTGCTAGCTCATTAAGATTTTAGTTGATGAAAAACAAAACATTCAGTATTTAATGAGAGAAAATACTAGGATAAATTCTCTCAAACATTGCTATAGGCAATATTTACATAAACATGCACAGAGACATTTTACAATGTGCACATTTTAAACTCAAGGCACTTGGAGGTTGCATGGTAGAAGTCACATTCATCACCCCTGCAGTATCCAGGTTTGATGTTCTCTCTATAACTCAGTTCTGCCAAGTAAAGCAGCTAGTCAGTACTGGTAATTAAGGCTACAATGGCTGCTGAATGCAATTGATCTCACGTGCGGCTACTTCCACATTCCTCTACAATGGTAGGTGTCACTACAGTTTGAATTATTAACATTAGCAAGGAGAACAGGGTGTTTCAAAGGACTTGTAATAGTATATAAACAATTATATTTGTGAAGAAGAAAAGTGGATTAACAAAGGAGAAATTTGCAAAGTATAATGATAATGGCAGGTAATCCATCTGAAATTATGCCCTCATTTCCATATATAAGCTACCCTAATGTTTTCTGTTAAGATAAGGACTTTACCTTAAAGAATCCTAGTGAAGAAAGAAGAAAATAAAAGTAGTTAGAATACATTCTAACTGAGTCAAGGAAAGTAAAATGGAAGAAATTAAATTTAAGAATTGCCTTATTCTTATATTCAGACATTTTAATACAGCATATGCATTTTATACCCATATGAAGATAAAATCCTTACAGTCTTCTTAACCTGGCTTATAAACTTCAAGATACTTAGTGGAAAGGAAATAGAATCCTTCTTATTTCCTGGACCAAATCCAATCTCTCAAACTGGGTAAAAAGAATTTGAGATAAGAAAATCACTTGCCAAAGAAAACAGAAAGATGTCTTGTGTTCTGCCAAATAGAGGATACACTATCAAGAATAAAAGAAGAGACTTGCTAAAACTTTGAAACAAATCAAGCTGCTACTGCTTGGTCTCAGGATGAGCATGGAAAAATAAAATCCTTGGGTGCACCCTAGGAAGGGAAAACCCCAAATATTGCTTGTTCACATGCTCATAAGAGTAAGGAAGTCATATTTCCAATGTAACATTCACAGTAATATTTTCCACATTTTATGAATAGGGAGTTGGAAAAAGGCCAAAGAAAAGCAAAAATAACAAAGAAGGGGTAGAAAATAAGAACTTAGATTGCAATTTTGTGGACAAAATAACCGTATTTCAAATCTTGAGCCGAAGTTAAATGATTTGGGCTTGAGGAAAAAAAAAAGTCTATGGTGGTTATAATTTTCCATCATCATTTCTAAACAAAAAAGAACAGGGGCAAATAGAAAATTGCACCTAGAAATAGATAAGACATTTAATATTTCCTGAAAGAAAAAAAAAAGCAGTTAAAACAATACATAGTCTAGGCTAACAAGAGGTCGTGAAATGATTGGAACCCAGTAGTTAACTCATAGCTGATGTCCCTTCAACTAGCTTTCCATGCTGCCTGCTTTTTCCCCGTAGCCCTCTTCCACGTCTCTCTCCCATCTTCAAAATAGTTGGGTGGTCTATAAGCTTTTAAAAGCTGGCCTTCTAGCATAAAAATTGCTCCCTTTCAGTTTTTCTTAACAAATAATATTAGAAAATATATCATAAAATATTATTTAATATTAAAAAGATAATATTAGAAACAAATATGATTCTGTCCCTAGATTAATAGTTTTTAAAAGGTTTGTAATTTTGGCATAGTGGGACATATATAGTCCATGTGGCATAACATACAGCCTTAGTAGAAATTCTGCTAAAAAAGAAATGATGCCCCAAATTCACCACTATATATTTGGAGAAGTACATAGAGTTCTAAATGCAAGTTTTTGAAATATCACAGGTAGCACAAAGGTAAAAATACACATTTCAACTCAACTTTTGATCCTTAGCTAAGGGAAGGGAAGCTGACCTTAGGCAAAGGGAAGACAAGGAGACCATAGGCAAAGATGGTCAATGGTGAACAAGTAATATTTGAGTAACCACTATGTATCGGGTATTTCACATATGCTTTCTTGGTAAATTTTACAACTTTGAAGTAGGTTTAATTATCTCTATACCACACCTTTATTAAATAGAAATTATTTTCGTTTTACAGATGAGGAAACAGAGAGGCAACTCGTCCAAGGTCCATAAGGTTATACATATATACATGGCAGAACAAGAACTCCACGTAGGCCTATCTAAAGTGTATATTTGTTATCACTGTGGTTCACAGGTTTGACAATTATTAGGACTCTGATTTCCATTATTTCTCAAGAATTTGTACTGCTTTCTGCTGTCACTGTGGTTTTCATTTAAAGGAACCTCACTTTTGATGTAAGAGACAAACTGATTTAGTGTGTTTGTTAGCTTCGTAATTCAGAGGCAACTCCAGGTTTACATTTCTGCCTTTCTAAACCTAATTATTTTATAAAAAGTCAGCTTGCTTTTCTTGAATCCCTTTCCCCCCAACATTACTAATCAAGTTTAATTTTGAGATATCCGTATTTTATAAGAGGACTCCCAGGACTACATATCTCATTTTCCTTTCTAGATTTATTCCTACTTAGCTAGTTTCATAAGGGCACCTCTAATTTTGAATTTTTATAGTATTTTCAAGGTTCATTGATAATGGCTTATCAATTTCTTTAGAACATAGGAGACTTGTAAGCTATCAAAGATGTTAAAATCAAATAGTTTTACCAAATTTTATCTGGCGTAACATGGATGTCAAGTTTAATATACAGCAACTTCGTTTATTGAAATTGAATAATTAGCAAACATAATGGCGAAGATTATACAATAAATGATGTTTAAATTGAAGTCAGATACTTATTGCTGCAGAGGTTATTCTTTACATTTCGGTAAGTGCAAAACTTCGTTTAACAATATTTTAGTATTTAATTTACTGAACAAAGGGCATTATCCTAAGTAACTTCAAATATTCTGAGGCATACAAATTTTAACAAAAATTCTTGAGATTTACTTCTGAGGATTAAATCAGACTACGTATTTTCCTGTGTGACATCCCCGAGTGGGCGCATTCGTTCCGGATAAAAAGAAAACAGGGTCTTTGGGGTTTGAGAGAAAGAAAAAATGGGGAGGGGTTATTTTCCAATCCACAAGACGGGGAAAAATGTGTTCAAGGCACGTCAAAGAAAAGAGCTTGAATTTAAATGTTCCAAATACATTTATCCCACGCAACACTCCAGGCGAGCAGTAGAAATTTTTTTTAAGCGCGTTTGGTTTTTGTTAACATCCATCAGCAAGATCTCTCTTTCACAATACTGGGAGAGGCCTGTTTGTTCCTCCACTCCCACTGTTGAAGTCTGGACAAAGTTTGAGAAACCCCAGGCACCTGCGGCTCTGACCGAAACCGGCGAGGAGCACAGGGAAGCGCGTCACTTCTTTCCAGTTTTCCGTCTCCAGATCCCAGATCTTTTTGACCTGCGATGTGAACGTCCATCTTCCGTGCCCCAGAAATAAGAGCTATTCTGGGGAAGGGAGACCTGGGTCTTCACCGACGCTTCACAAAGGTGTGCGTCCGCAGAACAGGGGCGGGCGGCTCCCGTTCTCTGCAGGCGGCTGCCGTCGGGCCCAAACACCGCAGAAACGAGGCTGGAAGCCGGGGCCCGCACGCGTGATCACCGCCCCGCGTCCCACCTCGCAGCCCGCGCCCGGCCGGAAGAGGGCGGGGCCTCGGGCCGGCGCGGCGAGGCCAGCCGCGGCGTGGGGTGGGGGGGGGCTCCTCCGGGGCCCGGCCCGCAGCCGCGCGTTTCCGGCGCGCTCCCCCGCGTCCTGCGTCCTGTGGTCTCGTCCGCCCCCGCTGCCATGTTGGATTGTGCGGCCGCCACCGCCGCCGCCGCCGCCGAAGGAGGGTTGGAGGAGGAGTTGGGAGTTTAGCGCAGTCGCCGGAGTACGAGGACAACGACCATCCGGCCAGAGACTAACCGGGCGGGAGCAGGGAGCTTCCCTTTCTCTGCGCGGCCCGTCGTTGGCTCCTCCTTCCCGTGGCCTCCTCCTCCCCGCGCCCGAGGAGCTGCGAGATGCTGCGCCTCTGATTCCCCTCCTCCCACCCCTGTCACCGAGAGGGGATAGAGCGCTCGCCTACTCGCCGGAGACGGCCCTGGACTCGCAACTCCGCCGGCGAAACCATGAGCTCCGGCCAGCAGCAGCCGCCGCCACCGCGGAGGGTCACCAATGTGGGGTCCTTGCTGCTCACCCCGCAGGAGAATGAGTCTCTCTTCACCTTCCTCGGCAAGAAATGTGTGGTCAGTGGCCGAGACCCGCGTCGTCGTCCCCGACGTTACCTCACGGGCTCGGGCTTTGAGGGCCGGGAAGTGGGAGTGGGGAAGAAGGCAGGAGCGGCGCGGGGAGGGTCCGGCTGCCGGCCGGGCCTCCAGCCAGCCCGGCTCCTTGGGTACGGGCAGTGCGGGCTGGGCCGGGGCGGGCGGACACCGCCTTCCGAAGCTGCCCGTGAGCAGGGAAGTGTCACCTCCGCAGCCCTGTCCTGGAACCCTGCCTGGCCGGGCCCGGGTCTGCGCCCTTGCTGCTGGTTCAAACTTTGCTCTCAGGCCACAAGGGGATTTTATTCATGCACGAGCTGCTCGATCTTAAAAACCGGGCCTCTGTACTGGCCCTCGCTTCACCTCCTGCTGTTTGATCCGGGGGTACCTTCTTTGACAATGGCAGAGGTTTCAGGAGTGGATAGGTCGGGGAATGAAGCCGAGATATGAATGAAGAGGACCAGAATGTGGTTTTTGATCCCCCTTTAGGATCCCAGGAGGGAATGAAGTCGAGTGCATCGGTTCGGAATGAGGGCAGGAAATGCTACTGCTCCCCATTGCAGAGAAACAGCGTTTATTTCTCCAGCAATCTCGCCCAGGCCTGGTTTCTGCTCTCCTCCCCACTGATTTTTTTTTTTTTTTAATTGGTGGGAGGAGGTGCTGCTCTCCCCACAACCATGCGCAGGGGAACCGCAGTCTGTAGTAGTTCTTGGCCTTTGGGGGCCTGAGAGTGATTCTTAGGTTAGTGCTGTGCGGCCTGTTCCAACCCCAGATGGCCGGTTGGGAGCAAGCAGTTTGCTGTGGGAAGGGGAATGTGTGTTGTTGACGGAAGCATTCATTACATTGGCTGCTGGCACTTCTGGGGGTGGGGAGGTTCTGCTCTGTGGTGTAGGCCTTGTCAGGCTGCATCTTACTGCGGTAGCTGGGTCGAACTGTGGTTGAGTTTGTTGAAACGCTGTTTGGGTCTCTTTCTCCCCTCCTTGCGTGGTAGCACCTGCACAGTATGTGTCACGGGAACCCAAGAAACCCCTACTGAAATGTCAACAGAGCAGTACCATTTTACAACTTTTCTTAGTAGTGTTAAATATGTCAAACTAGGCTACATCTGCTTGTTTAAGAAGTTAGGATTAGACAATTTCTGGAAAGTTACCCAATGGGTTAATTGTTAACTTTATAGGAGGCAACCTTTTGTATCCTCTTGGAGATTGAATCATTGCATTTAATTAAGATGTGTTTCATATTTTACTGATTAGAAGAATGAAATAAGAGGACTGGCTTAAAACCAATATTTTGGGAAACAACTTTAAAGATAATCAGGTCCCCTCCCCACCCCCACCGCTTTTAAACAAACGAGAAAACTGAGCAGTGAACCCTAAGTCACACAGCAATTTAGTGATGTAATCAGAACTAGAAAACCAGGACTCCTGATGCCTAGTCTGTTGTACTTTCACTACATTATGTTGTTTTAGAAGGGTTTTTTTATTACTTGTTATTGACTTATTTCAAAAAGTGGTGCAAAAGGAATGATCACTTTTTTATTTTTTATTGTTATGTTAATCACCATACATTACATCATTAGTTTTTGATGTTAATCACTTCTTTTTGATATCAATGGAGTGTGAGATTCTTAAAGCAGCACTAATTTTTGCATATTTTCCATTTAGGAAAATCTCCAGCTCTTTAAATGTTACATTATCTGCAAATGAAAAAAAAATTAAAATTTCACTGGTTTGTTTTCATTTGCTATATAGTTTATGTCAGAAAGGAAGTAGTTGTATTATGTTTTACATACCAGACACATTAACTTTAGGGAGGAAGGACATTACATTTAAACACGAGTACACTGACTAATTTCTCTATGCTTACCTGTAATGTTTACTGGTTTCAAAAAAATGAAAGATGTGAAAGAATACTGTGATTGAGAAAGATAGCCTTGCTTTCTGGTTAGCATAAGTGGATTGTTGAATAAGCCATCAGTATTCAGTGCTCTATATCTTTATGTCATCTATTATTAATCACCTTTACCTTTTGAATATGTCATTTAAAACCACATTCTTATGGTATGAAATTATTGTGAAGATTAACCTTAATATTTGAAGTCTCCAGTTACTTGAGAGTAAAGTAAGAATATTTTAATTTTTTTGAACAATCCTTTTTTTCTTCTTTGCTGACTATGCAGCTTTTTGTAGTTTAAAATAATAGTGAAATACATTATCTCATTAAAAAAATCAGCAATAACATTTACAAGTCAGACCAAATTTGTTAGGGAAGAAGTGTATTCAGAGCCCTACCTAAGAGTTCAAGGAATGAAACAGAAGTACTTATAGTCCCAGTTCTGGAGGAGCTGCATTCCTTCTTTGACTCAACAAATATATATGGAGTAACTAAATGTTGAGGTCAAAATCAGGGTTGGTGCCTGCCCTCAAGGAGCTTTACTGTGTCTCAGAAGGGAAACAAATAAGTAAACTGATGAGTAAGTCAGTACTTCAGAGTGATGTGTAAGATGCTGCATGTCACAATGGAAAATGTCTTGGCTTTGTAGTCAGCACACCAGAGTTCAAACTCATTTGGTCACTTAGGACAAGTTTTGTTCTTGTTTTCTCTTTTTTTTTAACTTCCTGTGGTAGAATTGGTTTTCTCAGTTCTAAAATAGGGATACTGCCTTACGGGATGATTTTGTGGATTAGAAGGACCATATGTAAATATATAAATATTATTATTTTTTGCAAAAGTTTAGGAGATTAAAAGAGGATGTGTTAAAATATTTTAGGATGGGTGATACCTGAATATTTAAGATTAGTATGCTCCCAGGTTGATGAGAGGAACGAAACAGCTTGGAAAGGTGGGGGCCTACTAGTAGTTTCTTATGGAGCAAGGAGGGTTTTCTGCTTGGGTTCTCAAATTTAGGTATGCATTAGAAACATTGTGGAGATTACAAATATTGCTAACCCGAATTCCTAGATAATATTCACTGGGTCTGAGGGGGAACTTGGGCATTTCTATTTTTAGCAAGCTTATGAAGTTTACTGTTTTCTGATAGGGTAATCTTGAAACATATTTGAAATGTTTATATGTTTCCCTTCAATCTTGGGTGTATATTTTGTGAGTTAAGATTAAGTTAAAACAAAGGGATTTTTGGGGGGTTTTGTTTTGTCTTGTTTTTTTTAGTACAGTCTCTAACCTGTTAAGATATCAGTGTGTATTTCATAGATGTAAGAGGGAGATACAGTTGAGGTAGTATTGCACTAGTTAGTGCACAAGATCAGGTATGACTTTTAGAAAGTTGGGGAGAAAGGTGAAGGCACTGTAGGAAGTGGATTGAGGGTTGTAAGAATGGAGACAAAGGAGATCAGGTAGGTGTTTAACAGTAGTGCACATAAGGTCTGAGGGCCTAAATTAAGGCACTGCTGGTGGGAATTCCAGGACAATTAAAAAGTCTTTAGTAGGATTTCATCCCCTTTAGATTTAGTGGGTGAGGGAAGAGAATTAGGTTAAAGACGGGTATAACCACCAGCAGAAAAAGTATGCAGAAACTTACATACTTTACTAAATGGAAATATGCCTTATATTAGACTACAGGTTGGTGATTGGTTTCATGGAAGAGGTGAATCTTAAATCTATTTTGCCACAGTTTTAAAAAATAGATTTTGTGAAAGATGAGGTTTCACTTAAAGTTATATATAATAAATCAGTATATGTTATGTGCTTAAAAGAATAGTTCTGATGCAATTCATTAGCTGGTAGTATTTTCTTAGAATAATTAAGAGGAGTTAAAAAACAAGATTATCAGGTCTCGGGGTGCCTGGGTGGCTCAGTGGGTTAAGCATCTGCCTTCTGCTCAGGTCCTGGGATGGAGCCCTGCCTCAGGCTCCCTCCTCAGCAGGAGACCTGCTTCTCCCTCTCCTCCCCATTTGTGCTCTCTCGCTATCTCTGTCTCTTTCTCTCCAATAAATAAATAAAAATCTTAAAAAAAAAAAAAGATTATCAGGTCTTATTTTGTAGTTAGTTCTGTTGTATCGTGATTTCACTTACTTTCTATAGAGTGTATGCTCTCTTGCCAAGTGAAGTTTAATAGTCCTGAAAAAGAAATAAGGATTGGGAAAAATAAAATATCATACTAGCTCTCTATAACCATCTTTGGTCCAAATGGATTGAGGTTAGTAAAGTTGACTGCTACTTGTTTCTGCCATGCTCACCTGGTTTGTTTCAAGAGTTAGTGGTGCTTAAGAAGCCATTTTTATTAACCATCATTTCTTTTGATTCCTCAGTACTTGTCTTAACTTGCTTATATTCTTTTGTTAGTTTTTTTTGGTTTGTTTTCTCACCCTGTATATAATTCTGGGAGATTAGACCTTATGTCTATGTAATTTTCTATAATTTTTATAACATCTAGCGTACAGATTACTGAATACTTATTAATTATAATTGCTAACTCTTTTATTCCTTAGGAGTTCATTTAGCATTTCTCATTGCTCAGTCAGGTTGTTAAAATCTTCAGTTTCTGATGCAGTTTGTATTTGGACCTAAGTCTTCCTTTATTAGAACAAAATGATTTAAGTCAGATGCTGAATACAGGTGGTAACAGTAGCTGTCCAACAGTTACTTTGTTTCTGTTCTAAATTCTTAAATAGGTTTACAGGGAGAGGTGCCTAGATGGATCATTGTTTTGATGAGGGCCTGAATTAAGGCAGCACTGGTGGGAAGTTAGGGCTGAGAATACTCCACTCCACCTTGAGTATGGAAAGAGAAAAAAGGTTAATATTTATGGGATTTGGAATTTACTAAGCGGAGAAGGCAACCTCGTCTAGTGTAGAGGAAAAAGGTGAGTAAAAGTGTGTGTCATATGGGATAAACTATAAGTATAGGAGGAGATTTAGAAGAATCTAGCAGATTTGGGTTACAAATCCTATTTCTTGTTATTCTTAGCTTATAGGCAAATTTCTTAGCCAATATGAGCTTTAATGTCTAGATTTGTAAAATGGGCT